ATTAACAATTATTTTTTATTAATATTATCCACATAATTAAATTAGTATTTGTCAAATTGAAATAGTTATATTTCTTAGAGATATAATAAACATATCTTATAATAAATCTTGAGCTTAAGAAACTAATAAATAGATTAATAATAGTTTTATCAATTACATAAAAAAAGATCATAATGAATTCCATAACACTTTGTTTTTACATAAAATATTACAAAAGCAAAGTTAACATATTGATTTATCATAACTATCACTATATAATATTATGTACAAGTATAAACTATAGACTAATATTTCCTAATTCATTGAGATTCAATAATAAATCTGCGTATAAATAAAAGTTTTCTTTTTGATAACAAAAATTTCAAGTTGTTTTCTTAACAAAAAACAAATCTGTGTGGAAAGATATTTTCATTTAATATTTTATATGGACATAAAGTTTATCAAGTTTTTTTCTTATTTATTATGTATATTGAATTATGAATTAGTTTGAAGCAAATCTTGTACGAGTAAAATCAATACTGCCTCCAGTTTTTTCATCCGTCTCTAACAGTAATTACGCGATATATTAAAGCAGATATCATGTGAAACGATAAAAAAAAATCATAATTTGTTTTCGTATACATTAACCTTGATATGTCCGATATTAAAATTAAGTATAAATAATATCATTAATTGATAAATTGATAAAAAAAAAACTGTTTGTGTTGTATTTAAGCAATTATGAATGTTGTTTTTATTTCATAATTAATTATTTAGTCTATAATTATTTATACAATTTCGTCAATTTTTCGGACTGTTTGAAACCGGATTAATTTAAGGAAAACCGCACAAAAAGAGACTGTATAAAAAAGTTATTTTGTTTACTCATGATTTTGAAATAGTGACTGATCGAAGCCGGACAATGCGAGGTATTACTGTAATTATGTACTAAAATAAATAAATAAGCTATAGCAAAGGTCCACTAATCATAGGTTTTTCAGCATACGAAAATAATAAGTAAATATTATGTTTCTACTGATTCTCATGTGCAGCAATATAATTGAGAAAATAAATTAGTAGAATGTAATAAATTAAATATAATTAAATGTAAAAGTAAAAACAATGTAATAAATTTGAATAATTTTAATAATAAGATGGAACATAGGATGCATGTACACCGTCACTGAATTTATGGCTGCAAGCTTATGCAGCTGTAAAATCATTACATTTAAATTTGGAACGCGCAACGCTACGGCCGTTTTAACACCTTGGTTATGCAGTTTCTGGTATGCGAGAGCGCCATATAGAATATATATGAATGTGTGGCTCTCTCTGGGTGTGCAGCTTTATCTGCAGACTGAAACTTTACTATATCCCTCGACGCGAACTTGTCTAATACAAATTAGGACAATTAAACTGAAGTGCATTTCAACAAAGCACACTGCGACCACATTTTAATTCCGTTTGTGTACCTCCTTTATAAATTGCTGCCTTATAAATCGCGTAAACTTTCCCAACAAATTGATTGCAATTTGTATTCCTAAACGACCACTTCGTAACGTGTTCGTTTATTATTCCCAGTAATATTACGAATAACTCAATTCAAATCAATCGAACAACTTAACTAGATTATTTGATGTTCATTTTTCGATTTCAATTTATTTCCAATTTCAAAAACTGAAAAAAAAAATAATATTTAACATTTCCTCTATCCGAAAATAGATTCTACATTTCAATTTCACGTCCAGATTATTGGAAATAGTCAATTTAATTAATTTCTCTTAACATATTTATCAGATTTCTTATGAATCTAAGTGTGCGATAGCCAAACTTTGTTTAAACTAAGGCAAAAATAAAGTATTTAGTAAGAATTTAGTAATAATGATTTGAAAATCTCAAAGACTCAAATATTCGATAAATACTGCTACTGAAAAGTTTCGCTGTTCTCGGTTCACAATTTCAAAACTGTGGAAACAAACTAATGTGTGTAAAATTAACAATGTGATGATTTTCGTTGATTCTCGTAGAAATAGTCAACAGATTCAAAACATTTCCACAATTCCATTGTGCTCATGACACATGAACTCAAAATTCCCAAAAGTACATTACACGACAAATTGAAAAAAAAAGGAAAATAAATTAAGAAGTTAAGACGAAGTTCGACTTTAATGAAAACGCTATTAAAACAAAGTGATTTTTTCAAAATAAAGTTTAAACTGTGATTTATCTACGTTTCCTATTCGAATTAACTAAATTTGTTCAGAAATTCCTCTAGCTTCTTACGAAATGTAACAACTATTTTCAGACAGAGGAAGGACAAAATTTGATTTATTGGGCAGAATTACAAATAAAAAATATATAAATTCGTACAAAAAGAAATAAACAAAATACTATAAATTGAAAAGAAAGCAGCTTTAATTTTGAACCGAAATTAATAAAAAAATTCTATAAACTTATTAAACCAAATGTAACTAGCTCGATTTTTCGCCCGAAATAAAAAAGCTAAGCAGAAAATCACCAAAAGTAATAGATCTTTAAATAATTATTACTAAATTATACTTAATATAGAATATTTGTTGTCCATGAATGATGTTCATCGTGAAAGATTGAATGAGATGTATTAATCATACTTTATATTCAATATAACTGTAATTATTATATCATCTGCATTTGATAAAGTAATTATTTTCAATATCTTTATCATATTCAACAAGTTAGTTAATTTTAAAAGATCTTGAAATGTAATAAGTTTTATTAACCTGCAATGAAATTGCAAAATTGTGATTTTTTTTCAATAAAAGAATATTAGATTACCTTACGTATATGCATTTCAGTATGCAACAACAAAATAAACTAAATTTTACATATTCATACTTTCATAGTTAGAAACGTTAAGATAAATTATTTACGAAATATGAAATGAGATTCGCATTTTCTTTGATTTAGCTTCAAGCCGAAACATATGCTCGAGTTATGCAGAGTAATTAAGAAATCTGTATTTGAGCTCTCATGAGTTTATATTTATGGAAGTATAAATTTCCGCATTACTGGAATATTCGCAATTTCGTTAATGATGACGTTAAAACGGCACAAAGTTTGCGTGTTACATCAAAGTGCGGAACAAATCAATAAATTATTTCATGCATCTGCGTATCGCAGAAACGCACACCAAATGTAATTGGCGGATGAGCAAATGAACAGAAATAATTAATGTAATTAGCAACAATGTTCACAGTTTATATTCATTTTCTGTAAAAAAAAACTTGTTACATTATGGCATAGTTGCAAATATATTTTGTATAAATGTCTTTAAATTATTAATTTACTTTCAAGCCTTTTTTATTTATAAATCATTTGATTTATTCTTGCTTATAAAACAAACTGAAACATTTCTTTTATAAATTCTTTAGATATTTAACTTTTTTAAGATATACGGATTAATTGGTTCAGGGTTGAATTAAGAAATTATGTACGAACCACAGTACAAAATTTCTTAATCCAACCCTGAAAGAAATACGTCATGATTACTTATGAAATTAACGAAAGCAAAATGTATTAAAGCGATTTTTTTTTTCATACATCTTTATTAATTTTTCGCCGCAATGTTTTTAGACTTCACAAATAAACAATGTTGCTTTATCCATATTACATTTCTTTTCACGTTTTTTATCTTCACTCAGACCAACTTGAAATGATTAAATACTTTACTTTATTAAAAGGGATCTTGCAATATTTATTACTTAACCAGACGTTAAAAAATACTTTTATTATATTATTATATTATTGTAAAAATAAGGAAAATGATATAATTTACAAAAAATACATAATGTTGTTTGCTTGATTTGTATAGGAAACTGCCTTAATTTTATCAATTTATCGGCAATCACGCTGTGACTAGATTCGAAGTGCCTTCACTTAACTTCTAACTATCAGGCTAATGTTGTTAAATAGCTAAAAGCCGGTAATTACATTTCAAAGGAGAAGCCTTTTTATAATTCGATATTACTTCACCTACCTTATCATTAAATTATTACACTTTATTAGTATTGATTAATTAGTCATCATTCATAGTTTTTTTTTGTTTATATCTAAGTATTTACAAAGTGGTTCCTTTCTAACTAGTTATATACCACTCATTCAAATCATATTGTGTCAGACTTCTAGAATTTCATCTATTTCTACTAGAATATCATTATATTTGTCACAAGTTGATATCAATCCAAGAACATAACTTTTAAAAACTGTAAAAAATTATCTTGTTCGAGTATTAGTTTCAATTGTAGAATATACATCATTATTTTTCAAAGGGAAATAAGGAATAATTATATATTTTTTCATGTGTTCTTGCTAATTCTCTATTTGATATGTTTATTGTGAATAATTAAATAATATGCATTTTTTTTGTGTGTGATATTTTTCATTTTGTGTTCGAATTATATGAAGTGCGCGCGAAATATTATTTGGTGGCGAGGAATTCGGGTTGTGTAGTTTTGCATGGAAGTTGTAAATTTTGTTGTCAGATTATGGTGTGTATGTCGATTAATTAGGAGAGTAATTAGCGTGAGAGCGGGCGCCTGTGCACAAAATAGCGTCACACTCATACCGGAAGTTATGATCAGTTAATTTCGCGGGGGTGGTTGGGGGAGATGAGCAGGCGCCCCTGGACATCAGCAATTTATCGTTTCTAATTGTATGTAACTCGCAGTAAGGAGATGGGATGCTTGAATCAAAGGCCCAAACATTTAATTACAAAGATTAATTTATTAATGTATCTAACAGATCAACAATACGCAATAACAGAAATATGAATAATTAGTAATCATTAATTAATCTTATAGATATATATATATATGAATGTACGCCTATAGTCTTTTTTTCCCTTATAATAATTATATTTATATATTTATAGTATGTATATTTTTAATATAGATATATATATATTAAAGAAGTATTTGATTTTTCTTAATGAACATTATACAGTATAGTAGATATATCTATAGGTATTATATTTCCTTCATGGTAGTTGTTGCATTTTTTTTTTATACATAAATCAGTAATAATAGGTGGAATATTTACACACAAACATTATACAAAATAGGATCGAGATTGGAGAGAAAAAAAAAACATTTATAGTAGTGGTAAATGAATATTTATATGAGCAAAGGCACTAATTGAAGATGAACCACAGGGGGGTTGGTTAGAGAGAGACAAATTCTGGGGTTAGCGGGGCGCAGCTGGGGGGCGGAGGTGGTGGAGGAAGCTCAGCCGTAGAATCCGGAAGAGAAAGAGTTGAACTACCACCAGCCGTGACGCGTGGGCCCATATTGTCATACTGAGGTACAGCGCAGGGCCGACGTGGTAGGGTAGCCATCCCGTGATAGACCGGCTTGGCTCTGTGGGATAAGTCCAACAGGTCAGGACACCTGGACGTATCTAGTGTGGGGTCTCGACTCACAGATACTGAGATGAAGATGTTCCCGAAGGCGCCCGCTGGGAGAGTGCTCGTGGAAAACTCCGGTGGCGGCGGAAACACCGCCAATGGAAGTGGCTCGCTCTCGATGGTGATATGAACGGGCGGCTCGAGCAGCTCCATCTCAGCACCTAAAGCCTCGCAGCTTCCGGTTCCTCTGTCCGTCGTCGTCGCAATACTGACATCCAGCAGCTTCTTTTCTTGGTCCGTGAAGCTTACGCTGGCCTTCATATTCTGCCTGCGGCGATTGTTTCGCGATTTTACACAGCATACCGCCACTATTGTACAGACCGCAGAACATGACACCGCCACTCCGACGACCAGGGAAGCCCACCACACTAGACCCGGATCAGATTTACTTAATGTCGTCGCGGTTACCACTTCCGGTAGCACTAGACTCACGTTCGAACTAACCACCGCCAATGAGTTCTTAGCAATGCAAGAGTATATCCCCGCATCCGCATCACTCACATTAAAAACACTAATATTGACCCACTTGTCCAACAGTCCCTCTTCGGCTTCCAATATCAGCCAGGTGTGATTGATGGGTCTGCCTTCGTACATCCAGGTTACTTTCGGTTCAGGATCTCCGATAACATGACATCCAAAGCTAACATTGCCACCTGCTTCAGCCTGTACTTGAGGGTATGGGACAAGAAATACTTGTGGAGGACAGGCAAACTCCTCACGCGCTACGTCCTTCCACAGACGATCCTTCAGCTCTTCGGGTCCCGAGCAACTCAGCGAAATTGATTGTAAATTACTTGACAAGAACCAATCACGAAAGCCTCTTAATTCGCAATCGCACTGCCAAGGGTTCCCATCGAGTGCCAGCGATTTGAGATGGGCGAAGTTCATAAAAGCCGCCTCGGACAGGTTTCGCAAAAGATTTGATTTAAGGTTGAGCGATTCGAGGGCGGCTAAATGAATGAACGCGTCCCGATGAACGCTCTCCAATTGACAACCATTGAACTCGAGAGACCGAAGATGAGGCAACGAAGGGAACTGAGCCTGAACAAGCTGTCGCAACGGATTTCCGCTCAAATTTAAAACTCTAAGTCTCTCGTTCCCGTTGAATGTCTCCGGGTCCAAACTGGAGATTTCGTTTTCAGACAAGTCAACCTCTATGAGAATTATGAGATCTCTGAACGCATCTTTGTGAACTTGCCGCAAACGAGTTCCTCTCATGAATATCCTTTGTAGATTTATCAAGCCTGCACTCTTGAAGGCATCTTTACCAAGCCTTGATATGGAATTGCCAGATAGATCCAGTACCTGCATTTCGGAATCCAAGGAGTCCGGAAGCCTGGTGAACGCTCCATCCTTGCAGAGCGCCGTCTTCTTGCCCGACGTCCATTTGCAGCGGCAAGACGTCGGGCAATCCGTCCAATCTGGGGCCGCTACGGCCAAGGCCGCCACCAGCAGAAGAAGGGAGGCCGCTGCCATCCCTTGAGTTCATCTTGGAGTCAACAGTCCATTTACACAACACATTTTGCACGCACTGAAGTATGTAATCCTGCGTGCTCTTATTTTCTAATCAAATTTTACCACTATCTGTTATTTGCTTATATATAGAACTTATGCGTATGAAAAGTTTTGAAAAGTTTCTCAAAGTTCACTGAACAAACGCGCTACCAACTATTTGGATAAAATGCGGAAACTGTGAGCTTGTTTTCATGCGGGCATCAATTTTTAGAGCTCTCCCTCCACTATAAATACACTTTCTGCAGGTCTTGAGAATCTGTGTCGTTCGCGTTGTATTCTTGGGAGAATCTCGGAGATGCAAGTGCTGCGCGAGCGTCCGCCTGGAAATCGTGTCCGTCGCACTATGATATTATTCGCCGCAGCTTTATGGGTCGCGGCGCCCGTATTGTTGCGTCGGCGTCGACGTCGGCGTCGTCGCGATGCCGATGCGCCTCCCTAACCAACCTAACCATCCGACCACCTCACCATCCGACAACATCATCCCAATTAACAAACATATACTACTATTATTACTATTACTAATATTCAATTTAATAATCCACAATCAACAACATTCTTTAATTAATTTATTCAACTTCAACAACAAAATGAAACAATACAAGAACAATACAAAAAAATGTAAAATATTCAAAATATATTATTGCTTTAATATAAAGAACATCCAAACAATATGAAAATATGTTGAAAATAAATTTTCCAAGTTATGGAAATAGTTTCTTCTATGTTTCAATAAAAATATTATTTTTTATTAGTTCATCAATAAAATTTATATTGTAGCAGAAAAACTTTAAAAATACTTTATATAGAAGCATGTTCAGCAGCTGTATACAATTATTGTTATTATTGAAATTATTAATATGAATTTTATTTTTGTTAAAGTTAAACCATTAAATCAGAAATTATAGTGATTCCTTTTTTGTATCCATTTTATATTGTTTTATTTTATAATTATAACAATAATAAATATTTCTTGAAATAAATTAATTTGAAATTACATATGAATAATTGTTACATTAACAATAAGATAATTGTTCATAATCTCATTTGAATATGGCTACTATTGTAACAACATTTTTTTTAATATATCAATTTGAAACTATTTTTAGTTCATACCCTGTAGCCTAATATATTAGTTTTATCTTTCAATCCATATATTGATGAAAACAATGTAAGTAAAATGTAACAGAATAATTAAAAATATTAATTCAATAATTGTAATTTGATTAAATTATACATCTGGATATCCTCTGTGTTTGACTTCTGTAAGCAAAGTTCATCCAGTGCCAGGCGTTCTCCAGTTTACTACTATTTGTCTTTTAATAGGCCACCCTGTGTACACAGCAAAAGTAAATTATGAAGAAACCTTCAGTCTGCTTAATGTTCTTTGATAATTGAAGTTAATATACCAATAAACCATAATTTGCTGAAATAATTGAATTATTAATCTTATTAATTGACTATATTAAAGTACCAAAGTCTCAAAACAAAAATACATTTATATATCTATGCAAAAATTAACCCTTTTTTTAATAAATACAAAGATACAATTTGATCTATAATGAATAACGACAATAAAAAAATCTGTAATTTAAAGTTGAATTCAATTTGAAGGATAATTGTATATTTATATATAAGTAAAGTGAAATATCCAAATATTTGTCTACATTTATATAGTTTAAGTAGATACTTTTTATAAATAGGAGAAAGCTACAAAAAAGTATAATCAAATTACAATATAAACTTCAAAACAAGTGCAATAGGAAAATAATAGATGATATAGTAACTTGAATATTTTATTTCTATAATACAAGAGACATTTTATAAATCAGCAATTTCTTCTTCATCTCCACCAATAGCTTTCCAAAATGCACTGACAACTTGCTCAGCACATTGCTTCCTCTCTTTCACAGGCATTGATTGTATACTGTCTTTCATCATGTGTAATTTATTAAAGAGATCCGTAAAGTCATCATTTGTATCATCCATAAGCAATTCATCCAAATCAACATTTTTGTTTTCCTTTTCTTCTTTTACTTTATCCTTCATGACCAAATTCGACCAGATGTGTGTCTCTAATGCTTCTATTATCCTATCCACACCAATTTTCTCTTCGATTAAATCCTGCTCCTCCTGGTCCGCTTCCACTGCTGGAAAAATCTCAATAAATTCAAAACCTCTCTTCAAGCACCAATCTGTAGCCATTGCTTTGGTCACTTTTGTTTCATTATTGCAATAATTTGCAATGAGCAATTTAATGTCTGGATCAAAATTGGTCTCCAAAGGCTCCCATTCTTTTAAATCATCAAGACCTGTACTTTTGTTACTATCCATGTGAATGATCAATGCTTCTACATTCTTCTGGAATTCATTTTCAGTGTATTCCGATAGGCCAATCAATTCAACTTCAGCAGTATAATATTTGGTTTCGAACCTCCATGGATGGGACAAAGAACTATATTTTTCTGAATGTTCCACTGGATTTTCTTTGGTTATAAGTTTTATCAAAGATTTTGGTTTCGTGTTACTGCTACTAACTATCACTACGCAAGGTTTCGAATCCATTGTTACAAAATAATCACATAAAATCACTACAACCAATATTTCAATTTTTAAGTCATATTACGACAAAATTTTGTTTTGGTTTATGGCCGATATCTGACAGATGACGTTACAGCAACGTGAACTTGGTGCTTCTACTTATGTAACCGACTTCGCGTTACACACAATCAGTTTGTAGGTTAATTTTAAAGTTTCAGTCGAACAGAATATTGGAAATATGAATTTCTTAACGAAATCTCGAAAACTTTTCAGCGTTAGTAATCAGTTGCATAGATTTCTAGCAACGAAGCCTGAAGATTTAAAGAAGCTAGTCGATAACAATAAAGTGGTCGTCTTCATGAAAGGTAACCCAGAGCAACCTAGATGCGGTTTCAGCAATGCCGTTGTGCAAATCATGCGAATGCACGGAGTAAAATACGATGCACACGATGTCCTTTCCGACGAGGAAATGAGGCAAGGTAGTTATTAGCAATGATTGCCAGTGTTTATTCCACAATTTTCATTTAAAATAATCTATTTCTAGGTATCAAGGAGTTCTCAAGTTGGCCAACAATTCCCCAAGTGTTCATCAATGGAGAGTTTGTTGGTGGCTGTGATATCCTTCTTCAAATGCACCAATCAGGGGATTTGATTGAAGAACTGGAAAAGGTTGGGATCAAAAGCGCGCTGCTTGATGATAGTAAGCCCAAAGATGATAAGAAGTAATTTATTTATCTTTTCTGTGTTGTCAAATATTTTGTAAATAATAAATGTAGCTAGCTCTTAACCAGGAATCTCAATCAATATCCCACATCCCTGAAATCAAAAGAAATATCCAATGAGGAAATGTTTTTAATTTTATTTCAAATAAATATGATAAGGAATAAATGTTTCGTAATGGTTGCAAGTTAAAGATATCCACATGTACACAGTACAGTTTATTGTTGTTGTTTTTTTTTGTTCAATTGTGAGGATGACCTAAGCCAAGTGTTTACAGCAATGATTATTAAAATACTTAGAAAATAAAGAGGGGTAGTATTTGTATCCTGACTGTTATTATCAGAGAACACAATATAAAATTGTTATAATAAAAATTGAATGTTTCACCATTTATATATAATTGTATTTTTTTTTGCCTTTTTATTCGATTTATAGTCAGAGGTTTAATTGTAATTATTAATTGTAAAAACAGATTCAGTTAGTTAAATAGATTTGAAAAGCAATTATGCGACACAATCCTGATGTCCTTTAAAATATAAAAACCATTCACACATAAAAAAAATAACAGCGTAATGTACAATTTCACTAAATTGGTGCTAGGTGGGCGAAGCCTCACCTGAAGAAACATAAACTACAGCTAAGGACAATTTACTATTTGAAGAAAGAAAAAAAAAACAATACTTAAATAATCAGCTGTCGAGACCAAAATTAATATGTAAAAAAGGATTGGAATCCTTACTGTAATTAATAACTTAAAAAATAAAATTTCTCCTAAAGTGACACCTGCATCACATACAGTTTACTCATCTCCCTCTTCCTCTTCTGATTCTGCTTCCTGGAGCCAAGTTAACCACTGATTCACCTGGAATGAAATTATATAATTAAGGTGTGTATGCAATGTTTATAGAAGACACAACTGATTATAATTGTATATTAAAGCAGATTTAATCTATACTAAGATACACTTACCTGGAAGAGTGCTTGACCTTTTCCGGGATAAACATCAGTAACATCTTCTTTCCAAGTAAGAAAAGCTTCTTCCTCGACAATAGATGAATCGTAAAGGGCGTTAAACCACCTCAGCAATTGACCGCGCGGGAATCCAAGAGCATAAAAATGCACCTGTAAGGCATAAACGGCGACCAATTGCAAATTTGAATTCTCGTGCAAAAATGCATGTAAAATTGGTTGATATTTATCCAACAAAGCTTTCTCTTTTTCTGCAATCGCTTTATCGTCGCCAGCAGCAGCTGCAGCAGCATCCTGCAATACAAAAGAAAAACAATTAATAATCAGACGACAAGAAAAAAAGAATCATGTGCAACAGCATTACCTGAGTAATATATTTGAGCAATACAGTCATAAGAGCTGTTATAAAACCGGGTTCAGTAAAATCAATGGACTCCAAGTTTTCTTTAATCCACTTGTAAAATTGTTGTGGATTTGGATCGGTTTGTAGCTGTTTGGCGAGGTCAGCTTCTAGCTGAAGCATTGGGCAAAGGAATGTTAACCGTTGCTCTCCCAGAATGATTGCTAGTCGCTCCTTGGTGCGATCACTTTCGAGCAACTGTGCGAGTAATGTTATTTTGCTGTCGTTAAATAACTTGGTTAACTCCTTTTCACCTAAGAGCTCTTTAAGTTCCTGCATTGTAGACATGAATAGCGGATAGTAGGTGCCATGTTCGGTGAATGATCCGAAATCTGCTAGCAGCAGAATATTTTCTTTAATAGCAGATGCATTCAAAAACGAGATTGAGGTGATGATCTTGCTTTTCTCGTTCTCACATTCATCGATGAGGTTACAAACGGCTTTGAATGAGTCGTGAATAATGTGGGTGGGTAGTAAGTTCTCTTTTTTTAAGTTGGCTAGGAGCGTGATGAACTTTTGCTTTTCGTCATTTGTTTTGCCGGTTGCAAAAGTTTTTAAGCCATTAAGTATTGCGTCCTTAGCAAACTTGTCCGGTACTTTATGTTCCTTGTAAGAATCTACAGCCTGCTGAATGTTCACGTCTCCTTTTAGAAAATCTTCCATCAACGAGGAGAACTTCTTTAAGACCTCCTCCTTATTTGGACCTTTTTCTTTCTTTGTTTGCTTGGGTTTCTCTGTAGATACTTGTTTAATAGGCAGTGTTGTTTCCTTCAAAAGTGGTGTACTAACTGGCTGTTTAGGAGCCAGTGTTGATTCTAATGGTCTGGAGTTCATAATGTTGTTACTTTTAACTGAAGCTTGCTTGAAAAGCATTGATGAAGGTCGCAATTCCACATCAACGAGGTTCTGATGTTCGCAAGCAGCAATTAAATTTTTCTTGAAACGAGGAGCTACTTCCTTGTTGGATTCTATAAATAAGAGAGAATTCGTTATTTTTTTTATCTGCTCTGGTCCGACTAATTAATTTATTATAATACGTACGGTTATTGTATTGATTCATGCTGTTATTCTGGTTGTGCTTGTATTGTCCCCGCTGATTGTTGTAGTTATTGAAACCGCTACGTTGGTTGTTATGTCCGCGGTATCCTCCATCTCTTTGTCCACCATAGCCGTTGGGGAACGGGTGAGTAGGTATTAGATTAGTAGTGGAGGATCCGAGATTCATGCTGATTAGCATGCCCTCAAGACCGCCACGAGTCTTCATCGGATGTCTAAATAATTCTGACAAGTTGGATCGGTCTGAATCCCGATCCTGGTTTCTGTCCCTTCGGAAACCCGGCCTATCATCTTCGACCGGTCTGATCTGATGGATGGGCACAGGACCTTCAACAACAGCTACCTTTCTCGGTGCCCAACCGTCCGACCGAAGGTCTATTACGTCCTTCAACATAAAACGGATACGTGGTTGTAATTCTTGATTATCTGCCAACACAGACATGCGCTCAAAATATTGATCCATCAGCTTTTTGCCCTTGTCTGAGTCCAAGATGCGGCCGCAGGTGCGCATGATTTGACATAGGCACTCCAGGTCTTCGGAGGGATCATCGCCACGCCGTTTCGCGCACAGAAGTTCCTGAATGCACCGGTGCAATATCGTTTCCGATAAGATCTCCAGCTTACCCAGTTCACCAATGAACTTGATATTGCCCAGCATTTTGCGTTTCGCCAGATGCCTGCGTTCTTCATCCTCGATTGTTTGGTCTTTATGTCCATACTGTTCGAGAATTTCTGACCTTTGTTCAAATTCAACTTTGCACTTGTTAAGTAGTAACAGTCTAAAGGTGCAAGGACCATTTGGAGGCTCAAAATTTGGTGCTTCCTCTGACAGCCGCTTGCACAACTGTGCGTACATAGACGAGTACTTCGGTTCATCAAGCGCCTTTTCAAAGATTAGAAAGATGACGCCTTTCAGAATGATGCCGGATGTTAGTTCGGTACGGAGTAGATCATCGCTCAGCTTCTTGAATTTGTCTGGCGTGAGTTTGTTGAGAATACCGCGAACCTTACGGAACACCAGGTCGTGACGAGACTCGGCTGTAATGGCATCATGGTGTCTCACTGTAGAGGGAGGGACCCAGCGTCGCTTGGCGGGGGGAACAGGTTCCTTCCCCGAAACACGAGCTTGTGGCCCCGCTTGCCTGGGGCACTCCGTCGTGGTGAGTTTACTACAGCTGCCTAGAAATCCCTCTCGGTCCAGGCACTTATTTCTATTATAGCGTATGGCCTCAAATTACTAAAAACATAGTAAACAAATAAATTAATAACAGAAAAACACACACAACAATATAAATTCCTACTACACATACACATAATACAAAAACAAACTATACGGTAAGAAAACATCCAGCTGCCTGCCTCGTATCGTTGAAAGAGGTATATATTCACTATTGATCAATTTATGAACCTTTATTTTTTGTTGTTGTCTCTTATATAAAGAAACATACCAGCTCTTCAATAGAAATCGTCATTGTATTTGTATTCTAAGAAATTTAATCCTCAGAAACGCTTATGTACCTGGTCAATACCGGTTTACCGATATTTTTTTCCCCTGTTTTTCATGAACACTTTTCTCTTCAACTTCATAGAACATTTACCTGCTGGTCAGGTAGTAATCATTAAAAAAAAAGCCGGTGCGTCGCTATCTTATCATCTACAGCTTTACAAAAACGTTACGAATTGATAACATATTCATCAAATCATGATGCTAATGAAATGCATGAACCAAAAAGTACTTTCAAGTGCACCGTGAGTAGTAAAAATTATTTATAAATATTGATTGCTGCAATAGCGTTACATAAATATTGATAGCCTACAAAAAAAAATGCTTTATGTTGTATATATAAAAATAGCTTATTTCAGCTTCGCACTTTGTAACGTTCACTTTTGTTGACAATAATTAATGCACATAATTTTTATTCAATTCTATACTTACAAACATCATAGTGAAAATTCGTAGAAAAAAACAACTGCGAACCAAATAGTATGAAAACTGAAGTTGAAGTGAAAACATTTGTAGAATTATTGCCTCCCCTGGAGTTATTAAGGGATGCTCACCCCACCCTAGCCGAAAGTAGGGGCGTAGAAGGAGATAAATTTAGTACATCACGAAAGCGCAGAAGCAGAAAACGGTGGAAAAAAAAAACGATATTATTTGGAAACAATGCTATCGGCTTTAATTGTCGATGAAAACATTTATAAGAAACAAGAGATTTTGGCACGAAGCATGCTTTGTTCTATACTCCACTTTATTCTGAATCAATATGCTTAAAAGTAGACTAGACAGACATACGTACTATTAAATGCACTCACTCCAAATTAAAATATGCAACTGGCATCAAAACTTATTTATAAAGTTATATTTATATTGTTTGACGTCGTGATCCTTGGTGCGACAGTTAGTTTATTTCACAAGGCCTTACGCGGAGCAACGTTAGATGGATGCAAGGAAGGTATGCATTGGCACGAAACGGTATCGAAAATGAAAACAGCGAAGGACAAAGAAATGTTAATGTTGACGTCAGACGCTTGGAGCAACGCTCACAACAAATTCAATTTACTTTAAAAAATAAAAAAGATGCACAAACAACACACACAGACAGACAGAGAGAGCACTGATTCACGTCCGTACAGAATAAATAAACGCGATCTAATCAATACTCGACGAATTCAGACGAAACAGCCTACATACGAAGAGGAAAAAAAGACGAGGGGGATGATGATGGTGACGATGATCCGACAGAAGGAGGAGGTCGACGACCAAAGCATCGGAGGGGAAGCGAGGTCAATTTCAAGGTCTTTGGCACATTCCAAGGATGTCTCAAACACCACGATATATCCGTGGGCAGGTGTTCAAACAATGAACTCAACTCGCCGAGATGCAACAGGGAAAACCTCAAATAGTGCAAAGCATTTACGTGTAATTGATCTTGGCATGGCCGAAAAAGCATTTAGGCCAAGCGCAACAAAGAAGAAAACACGTTGCAGCATGCCAAGAGGGCTCAACAACAATCGCACGACACGACATAACAAATATAAATAACAAAAGTCAAACATTAAAACGAAACAACGATAAGATTGCACATGGTCAAAATAATAATATTATGGTTCAAAGTGGACAGGGGTCTACGTCCTGCGTTATCAGAAGCCAGAGTCCAAAATTACCTGGCCAGCTTTAATTACGGTTATCAATGACAAAAAGCAAAAAAAAATCTTCGGGAAACAGCTGTCGAGGTCGACCTCGCAATGCACGACAGATGTTTCCACATAGGAAGTGACCCAATTCCCGTACCCAACCCGAAATACTAACAGCCGTCGATAATGCTCGTAAAACAAAATGAATATGGATAACAGTGTAAGCGAAGGGAAGGACGACGTAGATATGAATTTTGCAAGCTATATATGTATATATTTATAGATATTTGTACATCGAGAGCAGTCTACGCGTGTTACCACCATCGTTATGCTTGTAAATATTTTAATTATCCTCCAATTAGAGGAATTGCCGGTTGGTTTCGTTCCTTGAACGCTCGCTTTAGCCGCACAATCAAGATTCAATCTGAATTAGAAATTGCAACCTGCTATGTAGAAGATGAGATACCACAATTTCAGGTTTTTGAATACATTCCGACGACTCGAGGCAATGACGAAGGTTATCCTGAGATGAAACTGGATAAAATGTACCGGGCGCGTCGCTTGGATAAAGAGCGGTAATTGGGAATTACAAAGGCCGCCTTTTTGAATTAAGCAATTAACACTGACAACTTCAATTTATTATATCTGCATTCATTTAATGTGAAGCAATCCACCGTCTTCTATTCTTCCTCTTATGATAAGCAGTCTTTATTGTCGTTATATTTTTACATTTGCTAAATGTATTAAAATTCAAGATGAAAATATTACATATAATTTCAATACTATCTAATCACTTCAAAATACTTGATAGATTACATATTTCTAAATTTATGATTAAAAACAGTCATACATTAAACCACCATTGCGACAAACTTTGGATTGACTATCAATTATTACTAATACCATTATGCTACACAATAAATTACACTTACATTCATTTCTCATTATAAATATACATTGCATTTATTTTGTTATATTTATTCTCGAATGAAATAGAACAGTAACAGACATGATTATACATCAAAACGATTATTTCCTTAACCAGAAATAAGTGTTACGTATGCATTTAATATATAAGATAGTAGTAATCAGATGAATTACAACTATTTGATTCATACATTTGGTAGTGTAAAATATTGATCTCTTGGTGGTACCTTGCAAAGTTACAGCCCACTCATAAATTTCAATCCGCACAGAGATGTTCGTGTTTCTGTCCGCGCATTGTTCATGTTAAAAGCCTTGGAATTTAATTTAATAATAAACACTGAATTTCGTGAAATCCTTGTAAAGAAACGATCCCCATACAAAGGAAACGTTCAATTACATTTTTTTTTTTGAAGGTGAAGCAAAACTCTATTTAAGGATAAAACAAAAATAGTATTCTACAATTGTCTGTTTGCATCATATAATTGAATACTACATAAATTAATTTATTCAATCGTATTTATAGCAGATTTCAATATTAACAAAAATCTATTTATAAACGCTCCTTGAAATGAGCTTTGTTAAGTTAGCATAACGAATTTGTTTTATTAATACAAATTTTAATTGAAATGTATTGATTTCTGCTTGGGATATTCAACAATAATTTATATCTACCTTTTGAGCCATTTATGTAAGAAGGGAGTGTCTTCGTAAATCACAGTATTTGTAGTAATTTCTTGCGAAACTGCAAGTATTGTTTAAAATTGCAATTAACGCTATGTTAGTTATAATATAAGCTTAATGCTCTGGCGAATTTATTGGGCGGTCGATGACCGGAGACGAGGACTAAACACGGTGTTGTAGCGTAGACTCCGGGCGTACGAGATGTGGCAACCCTAGTTTAGGTAGAAGTTTTCGTTGCTAGGGATTATGGATGGGGGGGACCGGGATTAAACCGTACAGATATAATAATTTTCGTAACTGCTTGCAGAACACCGGCAAAGATTATAATAAAAACAAATCATGAGCTTCATTCATGAAACCAATAGATATAAATATAATATAAATTGCAACAAAAGCAATAAATAATTAATTATTTACGATATAAGATTGAGCCTTGATGCGCAAATGCATAATTTTCGAATTACACGCGTAATGAATAATTATTTTTAATGTATTGATTAGTGATGGAACTGCGGTTGATAAAAATTTAATGAAATCCGGGTAAATCTGCAAATATCAACAGCAGTGACACAAGGGAGGCGTCAGAATTAGAATATTCGAAAACGTGTATGGCCTTGAAACGTTCGCAAAATATTTTTTTTTTTTAAATATTTTTCGATGTATAATAAATTTGTAAAAGTGACGATGATATGTACATTGAAAAGAAAAAAAAAATGCTGTGATTCCGAGAGAAGAGGGAGAGGACGGTGATTCATCGGTCGCGGAAAGCTATGTGGGAAATTCGAGGAAATTTGGTTTTCGTCCGCCACCGCCCCCGAAATTCGCGATCATGGATGGATTGGTATGAAAGCAAGTTGCACGCGAATATAAAGAAATGTAATATACGCCATTACAGGGGAAGAGGAACGAGAATAATTTGGATCCGCGCGACGTCCGACCATTTTCCCCGGACGGTTTGCAGCAACCCGTTAGAACATGGGGGGCAAAAGGCCACGGGGAAAACCGCTCACGCCGGCCGGATCGGCACGGAAGTGGCTTGGAAAGATTCGGACAAGAGACATGACGCATCGATACTTGCGTGCAAAAAAAATTTATATACCGACGTACGGTTCTTCTTACAGGCGCAAAAAAAAAATCACATACATATCTGATAATATCCACAAGTTCATGCCATTTACAATACCGACTGGATGCACACTTACCGATCAGTTGTTAGTTTGCGAAACTCGGATTAAGTATTAGAAAATAAACTTTAGTGAAATGCGCTTTTAAATGACAAATAATAGAGCACTTACAGGGCCGATGCTTGTTGTTTGTGAGAGGGCACACTGATGGCTGCTGATCGTTGGTGTCGCTCGGCGCCGCTCGGATGCCTCCGCACTAGTAAAATCAGCAACTTTCCGCAGAAAACTGTGCCCAATTTCCCGTGGATCCCGCAAATTCCTAACCGAAAAATTCCAATTTCAATTTGGTGCACTGGTAGTTTTGGATATCGAGCAAAAAAGACAGGAATAAAAGAATTGTCAGCCAGTTGAAAAGTATTTATATTGACAACGACGTCCGTTGCCAACATAACGGAACGAAGCTGGGAATTCCCCTAAACGTCAACGAGAATTCCAATGAACTGTCACTTACTGTCACTTTTATCGGTGCTTTGAATTGCCACCTCTGCAATTTTCCAAGCACATCTCTGGAGATATGATTTAAAGCCTGTTTAAAGGGCACCGACCTGCATTCAATATGTTTCCCGATCTCAAAATTATTCTATTTTATGGGTCGGCGCTAGGATTTTCAGCGATCTTAGCAGTAAGTCTTCTCTATCCTTAACCTATTTCAGCATATCATTTGTATACAAACTAAAATATCATTTAACCATATACAACTACTTACACTTACTTACATATTTTAGGTCTGCATATTTCTAATATCCACATCGAAAGTCTACCCCATAATAACAAGAAGCAAAAAAGAGAAATACTTTGTAGATCCTATAAGTGGAGAGTCTGTCTCATTCCCGAGCATATCAGATCCATCCAGTGTGCATTTAAGTGTAATCGTACCAGCATACAATGAAGAAGAAAGATGTAAGTTATTTCAAACATTTATTTTAAACATTTGTTGATGATTTTATATTTTATTTCAGTACAACCAATGCTAGATGAGTGTACTGAATTTTTAGAAAATCGCGCCAAAAATTCGGATTTCAAATATGAAATCATTGTGGTCAGCGACGGAAGTAAGGATGGAACTGTAGCAATCGCAAATAAATATTGTGAGAAAATTGGAGTTGACAAAATAAGAGTGCTCGATCTGGAAACAAACAGAGGAAAAGGTGGCGCCGTTCGATTGGTAAGATGTTATATATGGAAAGTAAGATTGTTAATTTACAAAACTTATAGGGAATGCAAAGCGCAAGAGGTGCTATGTTGTTGTTCGCCGATGCTGATGGAGCCACGAGATTCTCCGATCTGACAAAATTAGAATTAAGTTTACAAGACATTCTCAAAAGTATACTTTAAAAGTCTGTGAGTTGACACAGTTTTGTAAGTTTTTCTTATTGTTTAAGGTGACTACTTGAAAAATCCAGTAGCTGTTTCCAGAGATCTTGGCATATCAATTGGATCTAGAGCGCACATGGAGAATGATGCTGTAGCGAATAGAAGTTTCTTTCGCACAATATTGATGTACGGTTTTCACTTTTTGGTGTGGATGTTCGCTGTTAGAGGTATTAAGGATACTCAATGCGGATTCAAGTTGTTAACTAGAAATGCAGCTCTGAAATGTTTCGAAAGTTTACACGTGGAGAGATGGGCGTTTGATGTAGAAATGCTATTTATCGCACAGAAATTGAAGATTCCTATTACTGAAGTGGCAGTAAATTGGACTGAAATTGATGGGTCGAAGGTAACGCCATTTTGGAGTTGGATACAAATGGGCAGGGATCTTGTCCTCATTTGGCTTAGGTATACGATCGGCGCATGGAAGATCGCTTCGCAAAAATACAAATGATGAAAATAATATCATCTTTTTATATTTATAGCACATAATATTTTCGCGAATAATTTATATAGACTGTTTTAATGAAATATACATGATATTCCATTTATTATGTTTTTTTTTTAAATCTATACCCAAAACATTCATCATAAAGAGTTATATGTAAAGTGTAAATAAATTTGGAATATGAATACTTTTAGTGTAGATATTTTATGTTAATAAATAAGTAATTCCGTAAAGTAAGTTGATTTGTATTTTATTCAAAATTACATATGGATTTTGTAAAAATAATTTACATAAAACAATACGTTTTATTATACGCATTTCTCATATTACTTAGTGCGTATTCGAATTAATGAAACAGTGAATATCTTTGTTACCAAGAATTCTGCAATTAAGCATAGATTAGATAATTAATTACATAATTAGTTCAGCTAACATTCTAAGAATGAGAAGCGATACAAATAATCTGCTTCAATTGCAAGTAAATAAAATAATTACCTATTTGGAAATAATAAGAATATTATTTCTGATTAATGAATCACAAAGAAATACTTATCACAAGATATTAGATTGTGATGTATTCATTACAACACAAGGACCTTAAGCCTTAGGACCTCCGTTTTATTAGTTATATTATATTTTTGGGTATTACTATTAATGATTTATTTACTACTAAACGACAATATTAATATTATTTCTAAATGAAATCCACAAACAATTTATTCTTAATCATTTATTGTCTATTAATAATTCATTTTTAATAACAAAATAATTTAATTTGGTTTACTTAATATAAATAAACAGAAATTACATATTATGAATTAAGTATTATTCGATTTGACTTTGATCCAGTACACTTATTAATCTCATCATGATGTCGGAATACTTCTCACGAAAATTAATATTTTCTTTGAACTCTTGCTGAATAAACTTACTTCTGTTCGTGTAGTTAAATTCGTTGAAAACATCTTCATCGTCCAGAATCAAATTGGATAATTCAGGACCGACGAAGCAGATTGTTGCGAACATTGTTGCTTCAACTAAAGCTGGCAGCTGGTATTCCTTTATGCTCTCCATGAACTGATCATAAGTCATAACACGATCGACTTCAATTTTTTTCAACTCCAAAGACTCGCGAAATACGTTATAATAGAGACGAAGAAGTCCTTCCATGTGCGTATCCAAGAAGTGGCTGGAGGCATTTACATGAAGCGTTGTTAATATATCGAATGCTGCTGGAACGTATCGCGCCAATTGGAAATCTATGAAGATACAATCCAGTTCTTCTTGAGTTTGTCGGAACATAATGTTATTTCGCCATAGATCTGCGTGCGTAATAACATTCCTATACTCTTTTGAAGCTTTCGTGTAGTTCAACATCTTCTTGCTGACGAATTGTTTTATCTTTTCTTGGTTTTCTTGATTTTCACAATTCACTAATTTCATTGAATCAGCAATTGCTTTAGACGTATTTAATGCCCATTTATATCTCGGATGATTTTCCAATGGACTGAATGTGGATTCCTTCAATTCATCTCGATAAAACTCGTTCACTCTGTAGCTTTGAGTGGCGTATCGCTGTTCCTCGAAAATGATGCACGATGCGTGAAATCGAGCCATTGTTTGTATTACAGCTTCCCAGTGAGCTAATGATAGATCCATATCGGGGATTGTAAAGCCTTTCGACGATAAATCCTCAAGAACAATAAATTTATCCGCCTGCACCAAATAGCACTTCGGCGCTATCGGTTTATTGTGGAATTTGACAAAATTGGAAATTAGATTTTTGTACAGCAGAGCTTCTTTCTTGAACACTCCCATTTCGTTCACGTACTGCATGTGGTTTGGATTGCTGTTGGGCACGGTCTTCAAGAAAAATCTTGCAAATTTCATTTCTTTCGTTGCAATGTCTTCGTAGGTGATTTTTAATTTGTAGTGTTCGCCCAGGAAGCCCATAGGTTCATCGCCCAACGAGGAAATTTTGAACGCCTTAACTTTTCCTTTTCCATTTGTGTGTTTGTAGATAACTTTTCTGCAGTCTTCGAGAGTTAAAACCATTGTTGCGGAAATATACGTGTGACATTTTGTTCGTCTTTTCGGTTACTTTTATACTCGAGCTGCTACCGTGGGAATTTTTTTGAAAGTTATTGTTGTTGGTTGTAAATCATGTGCTTGCGCCCAAAACAATTAAAACTATATAAATATTATGCAGACGTTTACATCTCAAACCACATGATGCTTGCGTTAATATTGACCTAGGAGTTAATTAAATGTATGCCTTGGACGAAAGGAGCTCTGAAAATATATCGAAGACCTGTCGAAAATTTCGATCAATTGCGCACTCGCCTGGGAAAACCCTGCTGAAAAGCTCGTGTCCTTCTTCTCGTACGCAGTCTACATGGCGCATGGTTGGAAATCCTTCGACCAGGACACTAGTCGTGGAGTAAAAACGGGCGTTTTCTGACGTACTCCAAGAGCTACATAACATAACATTGGTAAAGTAATACTCTGAATTTGCATCGAGCTTTTCAAATCTGCATTTACGCTTATACGCACATACAATAAAAAAATATCAGAATATTTAAAATCAATACTTTGCAAATACCTTAATTAATTAAGAGAAGCAAAAGCAAACAAAAACAAATGCGTTAATTAAAACAGCAGGTCACGTCAGCTTATTGAAAGTTTTCTATAGTCAGATCGATCCAAGATTTAGATTTGCATATAAGTTAAGTTCGTTAAATAGGCCATCCACATTTTGTGCTCTCCTCAGTTATTGATCCAATACCAAATGCGCGCAGCAAAAATAGCTTTTTGTTTTCAATCCTTAACGAGAGTTTAAACTTAATGATAGTATAAATTTAAATTTGTAAAGTGATTTTCATTTGATTAATCTAAATTCAACATCATTTGTTTGTTGATTAACAGTGACATCGAATTGTGTACACTGTGACGCACGTATCACATCAAAAAAAAAATATATGAAATGATTTATTGCCATCAGTTTCAATGTTATTATTATGCTTTAATGGAATGTTTTGAGATACAGTAGGAAAGGTTTTTGTTTTAATTAAATACGTGTGCGTGTGCATTTAGACTAAATATAGTCTATAATAGTTTATCTTCACGGGACAAATCATGTCACTGGTCGACAGTCGTGTCAAGTTCAACATAACGACACACCTGAATTAGGATTTCCGTGAAAATTAGTTTAATATCAAACTAATTAAAATATTACAAAATCGTTGTAATTGTATCGACTATGTGTTGTTACTTCTACTAATTAAAAAGACTATAAATAGAAAATAATAAACTAGTCCATAAAAATTCTACATGCGCGGAAAATTGCATGTTGATAAAAATGCATTTGTTGTGAAATTGCAGTTAAAATAATACTTTTCGTGTTTGAAAAGAGTTTATACTATCAGCAAGAATAACAAAAATATTTTAAATGCCACAAAAATATTATTATACGCATTTCTTAACTGAATTATTTATAATTACTTGCTAATATCACAAAATTTATAATCCTTACTTTAATCTAAAACTGGGGAATCCCACTTATACATTTTTTGCTACAGAATTTATAGATTAAAGATATTGAAACTTATACTGTGTAAGTTTGTAATACTTATTGATTCTAAGACTAAAAAAAGGTCTAACTGTTTATTTTGTAATTTTCAATTTATTCGATTCGTACTCTAAATATTTGCTTTTCATCATACCGAAATTCTAGTCAAATTAATTATTTTTGAACAAAATCTTGTACAGATTTAATTCTAATTAAATCTTAAATAAAATGAAACTAAAAGTAATTAATATAAATTACAATTTCGAAAATTTATAAAATTAGAAATCGTTCGAACATTTATTTCAGTTCTAAACATAAGATAATCTCTTTGTAACTTTTTTGTTTAAATTATGAACTTGCAAAAAATATATGTTAAGCTGATGTTAATTGTTTTCTAATAATGTTTTCATATAGAAAATATGTTACCAATATCAGTCGAAGAAATATTTTTATATGGAAATAATGTAAAAATTAATATATTTATTATCTGCAAATTATATTAATTCAATGACTTTACTCTGGTATTGACAAAATATAACAAACATTAAATTAATGAAGGAAGATCAAAGTTAAGTTAAAGTTTGTGATGTTATTTCTGTTATTTAAACATGTTTTCGGAAAAACTTCACTTAAAAAGTTATGACTTTTTAAGTAAAGTTTTTACTTCTTCATTGAACTACTTTCTTATCGATAGAGATAAAACAATGTATAGTTTCTGTATAGTCCATTTGACTAAATTCCGTTGAAGTAAAACAGGCTAAAACCGAGATAAGGGAAGCAATTGTGTCGAAGGAAATTGTGCACGTTCTATAGATTCAAGGATTTCCTTTTAGAAATTAAATTAAGCTCGTGCACAAAGAAAGTGAATTCAATTTGCTTTTATATTATCAAAGCATGTTTTCTCTTTGTATCTCTGTCATTATTTTGCATGAAATTAAATACAATTAAATATTAAATGAATTCACAATATTCAAATAACCTTTCATTTTTTATTAAAAGTTTAATAATTATAAAATGTGATTAAAAACATACAAAACCAATTAAATATGTTATATAATTACATTTATGAAAAAGAGTATCAATGGAAAAACAAACAATGAAAACTTTGTTTTGTAATATGGGATTAATGTAGAATATGAAATGAACGTTTCTGATTATGTAACTTCACCCACGAATTTAATTAAATCTGTGCATGGTTTTGTTCTCTATGTAATATATAATGTGGATAATGCAAAAGTCCAAATATAGCTTTTCATCCTTTTGAAGTTATTTTTAGTTAGTTTTCCTAGTTTCGAGAACGATTTTATCGCTTCCACCGTAGCTTATAAACTGACTCCCATTTATCGATCCAAGAGTTGTTCACAGCCGACAACTCCACAATTACACGAGCAACGTTGGCAATTTTCGCATGTACCATTATAATACATACGAAATATGCTTAGTATGTAAACTGTGGTTTGCGAAAATGCTGGAGGTGGTGAAAAAAAAAATACAAGGCGTTCGTTATCAGTGGAGAAAATAGCCTTAATTTCGTTTCATGTTTAATTAATATTGATTCCTTTGTTTACGTGTTTATAAAATAACAGTTCTGTTTCGCGTCGCCAATTGAATTGAATCGAAGCATTTAAAGTACGAGTGGAATAAACATAAAAAGCCATAGTGGTAGATAAACTAACCCACATGTACTGTGAATAGATAACAAAGCCTGATATATTTCAACAATGCTGCAGTATTTAGTTTATTTTTGTAGCGTGTGCTTGTTATGACTGCATTGTGAAAACGATAAACAATAATAAATTGACTGGATCTTTCTGCAGATTATGTCACAGATATGAGACGCTCAAGTGATCAAGGATATCTGTCATCTCCATATGACAAGAGAGTTATGAAAAGGTGACCCAATTAAGAGCAAACACAATGTCTTTCGAAAGCGAGAGGCAGTTCCTGTGCCCCCGGCTTATAGATTATTTGACTATAGTCGGGGTCAGACCATCCAACTCAGCCAGGCCAAGTACGAACCCTTCAATACAGGTAGGTAGCGGGAATGCAATTAGAGTGAACCGCATTTTGATATATAATCGATAACACTTCGCATTAATAATGATGTCGTTCGTTTCCAGTCACCTGAATTACTCCGTCGTTACCCGACCGATGATCACAAAGATTTCCCTATGCCATTGGATATGGTTTATTTCTGCCAACCGGAGGGTTGCTCCTCGGTTGGACCAAGGAGGACGGCTCTGCGAGAACCTTCCTCTTTTGTTTTCATGTTAACCGATAAAGACTCAGGGAAAACGAGGTACGGGATTTGCGTAAATTTTTATAGGCCCATCGAAAAGGGTCCAGCCAATGCTCAGAGTCTACGTAGAGGCAGTACCACCCTTCGCAGAGATTCGTGGAGGAAGAGTATGGAGAAAAGCTCGGATTCGGCGTTCTCAAGGTAATTCTCAATCGATCTGACCTAACGAATGAACGTTGTTATATAGATTTTCTAGCGATTATAGAAGTAGCAATGTTAATCCCAGTGATTCGGAAAGGGATTGTACCAGCCGCAGAGATTCCGAGGTGCAAGGCAATAATATTCATCCACCTAGGTTAGGTATAACTGCACCCAGCAATGACTCAGAAAGCGGCGGAAGTCATTCCCCTTCACCACGCGCCAGCAGAAAGAGACAGGTATGTATTTTATTCCTTTACAGCGTAAAACCAATTAAAATTTGCTAATTTTAATTTGCAGAGAATTCGTAATCATTCATTAACGTCGCTTTGTCTGCTCTCACATCACCCATTCTTCTCGAGCTTCAGAGAATGTCTGTTCATTTTGAAGAAACTAATTGATGCGTGTAATGAGTCCTCCAGTCCTCGGAGCGTGGGCGCATCGCGTCAAATTGGAAGGTTGCCATTTCAAAAAGCTTTATTTGTTGTTTTCTAAAATTCGTGTGGGCGTTATTATAGGGACACTGTTTGGAGTGTATTAACTGGACAAGCCACTGACGCGACGCCTTCTATTGTACTCCACGATGTTAAGGAAATAGAAACATGGATATTGAGATTACTATCTTGTCCCGTTCCCATTCCAGGCAAAACAAAGTAAATTAACTAATCTAAACTCTAAAAATCCTATTAATATTACCAATTCTCTGTCCTTAGAGTTTCGTTGGAAGTGCTCTCACCCAGCGTATATGAACCATTGGTTTTTGCGCTTCCGGATCATACTAGGTTTAGCTTAGTCGATTTCCCATTGCACCTACCTCTAGAACTACTAGGTAAACTAACATTAAAGCATATTTTAAGACATTTGCTAAAGTTAATTCCCGTTTCAGGAGTAGATACGTGCTTAAAGGTATTAACACTGATCCTCCTGGAAAATAAGGTTGTACTTCAATCTCGGGATTATAATGCTCTTTCCATGTCTGTGATGGCTTTTGTAACGATGATATATCCATTAGAATACATGTTCCCGGTCATTCCGCTACTCCCAACTTGCATGAGCTGCGCTGAACAGGTAATTTGTAATAAACCGACACATTTGAATTACCAATTAACACAAATTTCAGCTGTTGTTAGCACCGACTCCTTTCGTTATCGGTCTCCCGGCTAGTTTTCTGATGTACAAAAAGAACTTTAGGTAAATATAAAAAAAACGTTTATTCACTATTTAATTTTTACTACAATTTGTACATCCATACAGACTTCCGGATGATATTTGGTTGATCGATTTGGATTCGAACAAGTTGATATCTCCTGCTGAAATACCACCTCTCCCAGAGCCCGAGGGAACCATACTAAAAAATCACTTGAAACAGGTAAGGATACACGAACACCTAATGATATTTATTGTTTATATTTTTCAAACTCTTTCCCCTTTTTCATTTTAATGATTGACTTATTTAAATCTCAGGCTATGCAACTTATGGACCAAGTGGGCAGTGGTGTAAATATAAAATAATCGCACTATTGCATGCGGCTTTTGCATGATACTAACCCAATGCTATTGATTCTATTTCGAGATAATCCAGATTATAATAACATTGTTTTAAGCTCGATTTGTTATTAATATTATAATAACTATTTACCAATCGAAGCTTTTCTTTGTTATATTGCAATTTGGAATATGTATCGCTTTTCATAAACTAACCCTTGAACCTGTTTTGTTATTATATTTTATCATTTATTAATACAATTTAACTAATTTAATTAAGGCATTGGTTTAATAACCAAGGGTAGATGTTAATTAAAACATAATTGCATTAAGGGTCGTCGGCGAGCGTAAATATTTTCTCCGTTGGAGATCTAAATTAAATTTAATTAATGTGCAGGCAATTAATATTGTATTTCAATAGGCATTAACTGGACTATCAACTCCCACGGCTGCTGCATCTAATCAGCTTATGCCGTCTCGAAGGGAGAGCATACCCACGTCAAATACATTAAGGTATTTATAGCGTGAATATAGTAAATTATTACGACTAATCGATCGACAATATCCAAGTGTATCTTCTCATCGAAAATCGCCGGATATTTCTCCATCTCAAACGGGACAGCAGCAGACGTTCTCGAACCATCGAAGTTCTCCGGTCGTGTCCCCTAGGTCGTCGCTATCTCCGACACCCCAACCATCTGCATTTAATCCATTTATTTATGGAAATGATGTGGATTCTGTTGACGTAGCTACGCGGGTGGCTATGGTAATTTCGAAGGTTCACCAGCGGGACGGCATGAATAATACAACCCACGCAATGCTTTTAGGTGAAGTTTTTCAATTCGCAAAATCTTCTCGCCAACTTCAGCGAACACACAAGGACATTGAGATTATATCCCAGACCCGTGGTGGCTTTTCAAATAAACAGTTTCCTGAGATCTCGCCCACGAGCGTCACAATTTCTTAACAGGTTTGCTCGTACGCAAGCAGTAGAATTCCTTGCGGAATGGTCTTTGACGCCGAATAATGTGGCTTTCCAACGAGTGCATACCGGCGTCCTGGATCCTTCGCAAATAGGAGACAAGCAGAAATGGTATTTGCATACTTTGGATCCTATTAAATTCGTCGTTTGGGATGATGGCAGTTCACTCAACGGTGCACTAAGAAGTCTACAGAACCAAGAGCATCAGCCAACGGATGAAAGCGGATCTGATTCTGAAGGAGGCGAGAGCACAAGCTCCAGCTATTCATCTCTAAGCGATTTTGTTTCAGAAATGGCTTCCTCTGATCTTTCGCCAGGTAAAATTAAAAACGAAAATTAATTTAGGTAAATTCAAACGTTTGAATTTAAAGGTTATTCCACGTCTTACCAAGAAGCTAGAAAATCTGCACAAAAAATGTCTCTCTCATCGAACCTGGATCCACTTTCAATTTACAAACCTCCATCAGAATTACTGTATCCCGAAGGTGAATATCCCGATGACGATAGACCAGGTTCTGCTCAGTCTTCATCGAGCACTTCGCAATCAGATCTCAGTTCACCATCGTTCAATCGTGATTCCGAGTTTGAGTTTGGTAAAAAGGCAGAAACGCAGGCCGTCGTTAAAGACGAATGCGGCAGTTTAGAAAACGAATCGGATTCGAATTCTACCACGACACCGAAAACTATCGTGAGTACATCAATTAAAACAGAATCACCAGGGAGCGATCTAGATCACCCGTCCACTCCGAGAAAAACTCGCTCTGGTAGATCCATAACGCCAGTACCACCAATTAGTCCATGTTTGCAGAGACAGCCTAGTGTAGGGAATGTTTTGGCCAGGACTTCGAGTTTTGGTTCGTCCGGTAATGGTAGCCCTATTCCACAGAGCAGTGGCGTCACAAGACAAAGTTCTCAGGGATCTCTTTTGGAACAGTTTGCTTCGCAGGCTAAAGAATTAGTTCGGGAAACTACTCGCCAAAGCAGTCAGGATGGAATTTTAGCTCAAATGGATAAAGTAATTTGTATAACAACAATAGGAATATTATTTTATAAAAAGAAATATGTTTCAGTTAAAGATTCAAGCTAAAGGTAAATTGAACGAAGCAGAAGAAAGCCACTTATTCGCTCCATTTGATAAATTAACGAGCCAGACTAAAAAAGCAGTGGAAGGAGCATCTAAGAGTATGCACGAAGCTAGTAAAAGCGCCTTGGAAGCTAGTAAGACAGCGGCGGGAGTTAGTAAGAACACAATAGAGGATTTAACTTACGTGGGCAAATCCACATTTGACGATATTACAAAAAGCGCTAAAGAGGCAGTCAATATGAAAGGATTACTTAGGGTAATGCATTATTACTAAAAAAACAAGAAAAAATATCAAGAAATTCAAATTTATAGGGAGAGACACATTCCAAACCGGATGAGAGGAGAAGTTCTACAACAAGCACATCATTAGTTCAAGCGAGCTCAGGCCTGCTAACAGGAACTAGTCGTGATTTCTTTTCGAATATTAGTTCCGACTTGAACGGAATTGCGGCTTCTACGTCATCCATGTTTTCAGACTTGTTTGGTAATAAAGGTTCGCAAAAATCGAGCTCTCATAGCCAAACATCTCAACAACAACAACAAATGCAGCAAAACAAAAAGGACAATAAAACTGGGGTGTTTGGTCCATTCCCCAGAGGCCCAAAGGGATTGGTTGAAAAGAGTCCATTGATTAAACACAGCCCACGTAGACATGATGAAATACAAAGGAAGCAATCAATTGATAGAACAACAACGAACACAGAGAATCAAGCATTCCTGAAAGACGTGAGTTCAATTAGAGATTCGTATAATAAACGAAATAAAATAATTATTTGTTTTTTTATCTACAGGTTGTAAATCAAGTGTTAGAGGGTGAAGGTGTGGGCTGGCTGAAACTAAATCGACTGAAAAAGTTAATGGAGGATGAATCGTACCGTAACTTTGTGCTCAGTAAACTGAATAAAACGTTAGAGAGAAAGATTGCGCCAGACGATCATATAGATGATGTGGTATGTGGTGGTATTGGAGTGAAAATGTTTGAGAATTGTTAATTGTTTGTTTTTTCTAGTGCGTACCGAAGGCTGTATGGAAGGGAATGTTGAAAACACTGCAGGCAGCGAGTCACGGTTTGGAAGTGACATTTAGTAATTACGGATTAGGTGGAACAGCATCAGCATTTCAACTACACGAAATTGCTCATACGCATTATTGGACAAAGGATATAAGCGACGGCTCAGTAACAGACATAACAACTCAGGTCAGTATAATACAATTCAATTGTAAATCCTGGTTATAGTTTTTATTTTTATGTGGCAGAGTTCAAGTCCGCGATCGCCACAAAGTCCTCGTTCATCGATACAGTTGGATTGGGATTCAAGAAAATCATCTCAAGCAGGTATTAAAATAAGAAATGTTTTAATTATAGTATTATATAAACTTATGTGTTGCAGAAGCTCCTGAGGTACGACTGATGCAAGCTGAAGATGTCGATGGAGATGGACAACATTCAACGGCCGAAATGTTTAAGGACATGCTGAACCAGAAGAAGAACATGCTCCTGAATAAACTAACATCTTTCGATTCAGACGTAAGTATTGTAGCGGTTGTTTAATGCATGGTTAACTATGTCTCGACGTCAGGCATATTCTTTGATGCAACTGGAAAACGAACGTCGCTCGAGTATGCCTGATTTATATATGTTGTGTGTAACAGGCTGAAGGGACAGTGCATGGTTCTGGTGGTACTCTTTCACCAGGGGGTTCTATAACAACGGGTCCCGCTTGCGGTTTAAATAGGGGTGGTCCTCAGGCTTCCTTCCGGTCAACGGTTTCAGATACGGAGGTAGAAACGTTACAGGTAAAATAAATGTTCGCTTCTAACTGTTTAGTTTGAAAACCAAACCTCCAACAAGGTTAAATATTTTTGTCTAACTATGAAATCTTGTTATAGTTTCCGAAAATTCCAAAGCAGCGTACCTCCAGCGTTTGGTCCAGTAAGTCTTCTTTAAGCACTGGTTTTCGGTATCACGGGGGTCACATGGTTAACACGGCTGCGACCCCATCGCCAGATGTGGCTAGGACTTATCTGTTTGAAGGTTTAATTGGTAAAGAGCGAAGCGGATTATGGGATCAAATGCAATTTTGGGAAGACGCATTTCTTGACGCCGTCTCTCAGGAAAGAGATATGATTGGAATGGACCAAGGGCCAAGAGAGATGATGGAAAGATACAAGGCTCTTAGCGACACGGAAAGAAAGCGTTTAGAGCATGATGAAGATAGATTACTTTCAACGATGCTGTATAACTTGACAGCAATTTTGGTGATGCTCAAAGTGAACAAAGCGGAATTAAAAAGGAAAATCAGAAGGCTTCTCGGTAAAAGCCATATCGGTTTAGTTTACAGCCAGGAAGTGAATTTACTTCTAGACCAAATCAATAATTTGGTAAGTCTGGATAATATCTGTTGTAATCTTCTGTAAATAATTTCTGTTTTATCTTTGAAGCACGGAAATGATATTGATTTGAAACCATTAGGCTCGCGATTGTTGCATCGCCAGAGCTTCACTGTACATCAGGGCGTTGATCAGGGAGGCGAATTAAGGTTCTTGGAAGTTCGTGATGATGGTCTAGTATTGCGTTCGGTTTCTGGGGTAATAGTTGAGAGGTGGTGGTTCGAGAGATTGGTAAACATGACGTACAGCCCGAAGAATAAAGTGTTGTGTTTGTGGCGTCGGAATGGTCAGCAAACACAATTGCACAAATACTATACGAAAAAGGTAATTCACAGAGAAGATAATATAGGACAACAATTATTTCTTGTGATTTGTGATTTTTTTAGTGTAAGCAATTGTATTATTGCATCAAAGATGCGATGGAAAGAGGAGGCGTAGCAGGTACCGCTCCTGAGTTAGGTGGCGAATTTCCGGTACAAGATATGAGCACAGGTGAAGGTGGATTGCTGCAGGTTTGCATGGAAGGTGTGGGTTTGCTCTTCGCGAATAGTAAGGTACACACAACATTAACTAGAAGCATTCTGTAAATATACTTCATTCAAAAATTTCCAAAAAAAAAATTAATAATAATAATAATCAAAATTCTTATAGATCAGTGAGTTTTCTTTGGATTACTGATTTTAATTTAAATTTTAGCATTGTAAATTAGTTTCTAAACATATTGTTAGATGGAAAACACAACGTGTTTCTATTATTCTTATCAATTTTATTTTAAATCTAACACATTGTGTTTTCCGAATGTTTCGTTTTCTATGATTTCTTGATTAATTAATTAATTTATTTTCTTTTAGTTTAATTATGATCTGAATATATTATACATTTATGTCGTGTTGTTGGGTGCGCTGTGATTTGTGCATTTGTACTGCAAGGACCACTCAAACTTTCTTACTTGCTCTGCCACTCGCTCTCGGTTGCCATCTATATGTACTGCATAATATTATTTTCTTTACGTTTTCATTTACATATTTATAAGTGTTTTGAAACAAAAACAAAAAAAAAAGAAGATATGCAATCAAAAAAAAAAAAGTGGCTGCGAATTTTCTCATCATTTTTGGAAGATCAGTTCAGGTAGTAAGTCATGTTTTTGTTTTTTTAATTTTTCAAAACCCCCTCAAACCCACATACTCAGTATTTTATTAGTTTAAACATTAATATCATTATTATTTATATTTTGGTTTCATTTATTTCACTCAGTGTTTCTTTAAAAAAAAAAATATTGCATGCCGCTCAATGTGCAATCTCTGAAACTCTATCTCTTCTTTCTGTCTTACTTTTACTTCTTTTCTTCTATCTATATCTATCTATATTGCTATACTATAGTAACAAAGTTTGTAATTGAATTTGTTATGTGGATGCTTTATCTTTTGTTTCTTTTTTTTAAATTTTGTTTCTCTTTTAATATATATATCTATATCTCGATGTCGATGAGTGGTCATGTATGGCAATATTTAATTAATCAGATCTTCCTCGATGTTTGGAATGTTTCGAGGAAGATCTGTGGCAAAGCATAGGAACTTTTGAGATGGTCCTTGTCGGGCATATTTTGTTTTAACATTTATTATTTATTTTTTTTTTAAATTTTAATTTAAATCTTATTTTAGACTTTTTAGTTTTTTTTTTTTATATATTTCGTCACTAATGTTGTGTTCTGTTGGTTTTTTTTTTATTATTATTCTATTCCTGTTGATCTGTCCACGTCGGTTGCTGGCTGCTTGACAGGACTTTGAGGTATATTGAAGAAAAATTATAAAATCATAAATTATCTGGTCTAATCTGATCGTTAGTTTAGCATAGTCTCTGTTTAGTTTAGCGCTTATCCCTGTAGTAATCTCTTTGCTCTGGCTACACCTCTTTCCACAGATGATAATTTTTACACCGAACCGGAAAGGGGGAGTGGATTACCATTTCTTTTTATAACTTTGTAGTTCCTTTGAAAGAAAGAGCGTTCCTTCTTCTTTCGTTCTTTAAATTTTCTCGTTTAATTTTTTCATTTTCTGTAACGAGTCTATGATGATGAAGACGATGAATAATTTATTCACAAAAAAAAAAAATACACATATCACACGTGGTTTAGCGTAGAATGCCAAACGTCCCCCCGGTGTTCGCATAGTTGTAGTGTGATAGAATGCTGCTTCTAGCCGGACACCGCATGGCCGTTTCACCTTCACCAAAATTAGCACCACCACAGATACAGAACACATATCTACACTAACTTTTTGGCCATCATACATTGAGCAAACCATCTCTAAAGTTGCCTAAGCTTCACGCATGACACGCGGGCATGTAATGTGTTAATGTGTCGTATTTAGTCAATTAATGGATTTACGAATTGTTAGAATTTGAATTGTGTTACGCTTAGCTTTTGCCTATTAACTGTTTGTCTTTTAGCTAATCTGTCTGGTGTTAGCATTACTACATTCTATTGTTTTACAGTTCTTCGTCCGTATTGATCACATAAGGAAATGTTTTACACAAAAAGGAGGCATATTTGTATTGGAAGAATTCAGTGAGTATTACCAATTGTACTAAATGTATTTATCGATTCATGTAAGTAATTGAAATATTACATTTACAATAAACCATTATTTATAGTTTCACAATTATATAACAGATTATATTTGCAGATCCCAAAACGAGGCAAGTCATCCAAAGGAAATACAAGTCTTCAATGGTATGCATACATTCATTATACTAATTAAGTGTGATCCGTTTCACTTTATTTATATTATTTTCGTTTTTGTTTCTGTTTTTGGTTTATTGTTGTATCTTCTCCACGCACGTGTCTTATAGGCTAGCCTGATGTTATTGTCACTTCATCGGATATTTTCAATTTGCATGGCCGAGCGACTAAATGCGTTGCCACCACCATCCTCCGTGCATGATTGTTTATGATTTTCACAAACCCATCATCCCGTAGTATTCCGAATACGACGAAGAGAAGTGTTGTTGTTGTACTAATCGTTTGGCCATTTAGGCGGATCAAATCTGCTACGCGGTTCTCTGCGTCTTCTCCTACGTCGCCGCCGGATCGGACAAGAGATTCCAGCTGCCACCGAAACCAACATCATCGGTCACGACACCAACAGTGACAGCGCCGCCACAAGAACCACAGCCTCCTCTCCAAATACCGCAACCGATACCGCCTAAGTCGATTCCCGTTCCACAGAACATTCCTCAACAATTACCTCCTCCGCATAGCCCTGAGCCCGGAACGGTTACACCCGTAGGAGGACCACCTTCGTATCCACCACCGGCTCTTCCTCCAGGTGTACCACCACCAGCAGCACCGCCAGGAAAGGTACTTTACAGCAGACCATCAGTTCCACCGCCGGTTCCCAGCAGGAATTTACCACCATTCTCACCGCAACCGCCGCCCCGTCCAAAGTGACGACGAGGCGGCAGATATTCGCTACCTTTCATCTACGGCGACGACGCATCCTGCATGATTCCATCTTGCATACCATGGAATATGAGAAATTAATAGCATTTACCATCATCGTTCTTAAACAATCTCACATACACAGTATTAATGAAAGATATTACGTATTCAATTTCTTGAAACTAAAAGAAAAATGCTCTATCTTAGAAAATTTATTCAATGTTACACTAGACCAAATTATTATATTTATTTATATAGATTAGTACAAAAAAAAAAACAAATATATATATAAATATATAATATTCATTGATTGGACTGATTATATAGAACTTGAAATGGAACAGATACTAGTGTATATAATTGTATTTCTTTTAATTCTTATTTAAATGTTAAACAAATCACACCGAGTTTCCTAAATTACGAGTGTAAATGATGTTGCTGTTTTTTGTATAAATTCGTGTAAATCGGAGGAGATATTTCTAGCAATAAGGTTTTCGAAGTTTCCGACAATTTGTAAATACATTTTAGATACGACTTTCGCTGACTACATTAAATGAATTAACCAATTACAAACATAATAATAATAATCCTGTGCCTAATCAGTGAAACTAGATCTTTCTCGATGTAAATAGTATATAAGTTAATAATATTTTCTTTAGATATTCTCGCGGAATGAATATGATTAATGTTTCGTTACTCCTTCTCTCTTAGAAAAGCAATATACGTGTATTTCTATTCTACGTTCGCTAGACAAGCTTAATATGTGAAAAAAAAAATATTATTCATAAGTTGAATAAACATTAACTATGATGCAGCACAGCCTTACTCATTCTTAACACCTTTCCCCCGTTTATTTTAATTGAAACATCTCCGTATCGATTATGTAATTAAAGGAGTAAGTAAATGTTCTGTTTAGGTTTCACAAAGACCGGAAACAATGCGAAATAGTTTATGCAAAGGGTCACATTGTATATCTAACTAGACAATCCAGTTAATTACTTATAGGATAACGGTTTTGGTCCATTGTCACCGAAATTTCCTAAGCTTTGCTCGAACTTTTCTATCATCAAACACATTTATTATCCAGTGAACTTAAATACAAATTTTAATTATAAAAAAACTAATAAAATTAAAGTTGAAAGCAATACTAGATACAAATTCAATATTGATGTTAAAATATTAATAAATCATATTATTTGATTTCGTTTAACTCTTTTATACTTGGATTACTAGATATAAAATGAAAACAAGAGTGAGATTACTTTTATGACAATATAATTTAAAAAAATCAGTTAATTATTAAACAAAAGCAACATATGTGAATTAAATCTAATAATTATAGTTAATATGATGATATTAAGAATATACTTTTCCATCTTAATATTTATATATAAAAAGTATATTAGCTTTTGTTTATTGTTAATTATTAAAATTTTATTAATTAAGTACGGATTACTAATAAATGGTCCATTTTAATTATTATAATTTAAATAATTAAGAAGAAATCATTTAAAAAAGTAAACGTAAAAATAACGACAGTTGGAGTTATATTATAACAAAAGTATATGTCCATATTTAAGTTAAAATTTTCTTTTATTCTTTATCCCTTTGTGCTCACCATATCCTTTATCTAGGATTAATGTGTATCCTTTTTTCAATGATTTATAATGATTTTCCTTTGTTTACAATACAAAACAACAATTTCGGCCTCAAAGGGTTATTAATTAAATAATATTTGGGTTAATGAAATGATAACATGTTATATGAAATTGATTGCATTTCTAAGTCAATGTTTACAACAGTTACTAAAATGAAATTTACTTGTTTTTTGTATAATAATATGCATATATATTTTAATTTAATATATTCTAATATAATAAAAACTGGTTGTTTCTTTGATGTGAGGAAAATGTAATTTAAAAGTGTCTACTGTGTTTTTTTTTGTTGTTGCACTGAAGGGCAGTGTTGCATATAGGTCATTAAATTTCCAGTGGCGTATAGTTTCTATATGCTGGAATGGTTTTCGTATAATGCAGATGGGAACGGGAATGGGCGAGGCAGAGTGGAGAGTGGAGAGAGAAAGAGATGTTTAAGATGCAGAAACCTTTGACATAATATCCTAAATGAAACTCGCGCATGTAAATTTTTATGCAAATTATATAGCTTTTGAGTATTAGTATGCAAAACTTGGCCGGCTTTTAGAAGTAAGCGTTTAGATACGGTGATAACTGCAATTCCCACTCTGGCGGCTGCAGAGGTACAACAGCACACAGAAGAAAAAAAAACACATAGAACTTGGTATATATGAACCGAACCGAGAAGAGAATAAAAGCCTTAAAAGCCAGCCAGAGAAAAAAAGGGGGCGCAAAAAAGAGGTCCAAAAAATGGGGAAAAAGTGCCGAGAAGGATAAAGACGGTAGCGAGAGGGAAAAAAAAAGAGAAGAGACTGCTGACATTTGGTTACAAATGGTAATACATAATAATTTTGGCTTTTGTAGGAGGGAGTGAGTCGTAATATTATGACGACGTGTTTAATTAACTTCTCCGGGTCTGGTGCAATTATGAATCGAAGATCTCCAACACCAGCCAGCCCCGAAGACTTTCCGAACTATTAAGAAGTTTAGTTCGTTTCAACAGAATAATGTCTTAATCAAACATTTAACAATTTTAACTAAACTTTTGGATCCATTAAATGCAAATTATACTCATTCGTTTACAAAGCCGATATCAAAGTCTAATTATTTGACAATTTATATTTAAATTTTGCATTTTTAGCAGTTTTAAATTCGATTTTGCAAGATTATATTATGATTAAATTATAATTACATTCTCTATTTTCTTTTTAAATTTAGTGACCTATCTTTGATACTACATATATATAATGCAACTTGGGAATGGGTAAGTAATTTGTCAAGTCTCGTGTGAACTTTCCATATACAGGTATCCCCCGACTTACGAATTTCCGGACTTACGAACAAAATTCTAAAAGCTCTAACTTTTTACAAGGATATATATTGTGATATATAGTAACAAAAATTGATAATTTCTTTAATAAAATATAATATTTTTGTCATTTTTTATTAAATAATTGTGATGTCTACATTGGAAAGTATTTGTAAATAAGTATTTTGTTCATTTTAATCTAATTTTTCAAATTTATGCTGTCAGTAATACGGTAAAAACCAAGATAAAGTGTACTAAGATTTTGAAATTTTTAAAATTCTGCCGACAACCCTTTGAAACGAAACTAGTTTGTAAGTCGGGGAATACTTGTAATCTAATAGGAATATATTGTGTTGGAATGAATATTGTGTACGCACCATGAGGTGTTATTAAAAAAATATTGTTGCAAATATAGAATAATAATGCAACGTACTGTTTTATATCAACATTTATTTAATTTTTTTTTTACATTGTTAAAATAATAATGATTGATGATATAGATAAATATCATCATCGATCATATTGTGTTTTTATTTTGTCCAATTTAAAAATGAATATATACATATATTGCATAAAAATGTTGCTGGATATAGTTATTTTTTACATACCCCGTTTTGTTTGGAGTGAAAATAAATTATTAGGGACCGAACATGATTGGGATATCGGTTATTTACGCATTCATTTCCTGCCGGCAGGAAATATCGAGTTCGCACGTTTTATTAGATTTCGTTCACATTTACATATGCATATGTACAGGACGCGTTGTAGAACATACAAAAAAAGGACGAAACCAACAAACAAAAAAAAGGATAAATATGTACGAATGTATGTATGCAAAACCGTGTTGGGCCGCGCGTTGCACGATTCAATTATCGAAATTACCGTACAAGTTAATTAATTAGAATAATTAATAATATTCGCAAACATTCATGTGGGTAACATTTTCGTGGAAAAAGGAGTGATGTCATCGGAAACGGAAATCAATCACGTTCTTATTTATCTGCGCGAGAGGTGAAATAGTTGTTTTCCGGCTGGATTTAAATTAATTTCAGTTGGAAATGCGACGTGGAAACGTGACGCTTCGACACAATAAACAACTCCGTTCTCTGTGTCGATAATATAAATGAGCTAATTAATTAGAACAATACGTCGGTAAATAGAAGTCCGCCCGATACGTCGGATAAAACGTGATCAGGTCTAACAAGGGCTCACGTGGAACGCAAGGTGCTTCTGCTTACCCTCGTTACCTAACAAATGATGTCGGAACATTAAACCTTTCCAATTACTAGAAAGAAAAGGTAAATACCTACAAAAAAAAAACATTACATCCAATTTACTTTTAAATTTGATCCGTTCCATGATGTAAGGTTAAAGGGGATTTAATGCCTTTTTTTAAACAGATTGAATATACAACAGAAGATGTTTATTTCAATAACCTTTTCTCAATTAATTGCAATTATTAATGTTATAAATCAAATAAAGCATAAATAAACTATAGCATTATGTGTAAAAGATTGGTTACTTATTGTAACTGTATAATGTAATTTCATTCACTTTGAATTGGGTTACATTTAGTAAAAAATGTATATAAATGGGAAATAGTATTCTAGGAAGTGACAGAAGCATTTGTATCCGTCAGTCGTCCAAGAAAGACTGATCATTCTCTGATGTTGAATTAAGGAAGAAGAAAAAAAAACAGACACACAAACAAATACACACAGTCAGTGTACACACGCAAACGTTGCGGTCAATCCAATCATGGATTGCGCAGCATTTGAAAAGTTCCTTGGACTGAAGGGGCTTTGTCAACTCCATTGGCGTTTATAACTTCGACCATTTTCAATTAGCGAAATTGAAGCTGGAAATAGAAACTGCAGTCGCCATTCTCAATTTATAAAATTGATAACCGAATCCCAAATGAACAATGCCTTTCAGTTAGCATTAATACTCACTTTGTCTATTTAATTAATTAATTTTATAAAACATTATTATTACTTGTACTAACAATGAAACTATTCAATTTCCTAAATAATTTGTGTTATTTATTGTGTAAATTATAATGGGAGAAATAATAGAAAATAATTAAATATAGATATTGAAACTTGTAAAGGGTGAAAGTGTGAACTGAAGGTTGACCGGTCGCTGATAAAACTGGGTCCGGGGGGGCGATCTTGATTTTAAGGATGTCGGACAAAGTTCGAGTGGGCGGTAGGATGAGGTTTAAGTTCGGTAAAGTTCGAGCAATAATTACTACAGTTGGAACCATTAAATTATAAACTTCCGAAAGTACGAGTAGGTAAAT